GGTTGGGTTGGTTGGATTGGTTGGTTGGATTGGTTGGTTGGTTTGGGTTGGTTGGGTTGGTTTGGGTTGGTTGGGTTGGTTGGTTGGGTTGGGTTGGGTTTGGCTGGTTTGGGTTGGTTGGGTTGGGTTGGAGGCCCCTCACCGGTGAGCGCCCAGCCGCTGTCCCGGCCCTGGACGGGATTTTGGGCGACGCCGTCGGTTTGGCAGATTTGGGGATCCCTGGGAGCGCCCGGGGAAATCGAGGCACAAATTCCCGCCCCACTTCCGCCATTTTGGCTGCCAGGAACCAATTCTGGTCTGACCCAAGTCCCCGCCGGGAACGGGATGGAAACATCCCAAAAAATCACAAATTGGGGTGAAACGCCGGGATTTTGGGAAAGTTGGGGTCAAATGCTGCGATTTCGGGAGAATTGGGGTCAAACTCTGGGATTTTGGGAATGTTGAGGTTAAACTCTGGGACTTTGGGAGAATTGGGGTTAAACTCTGGGATTTTGGGAATGTTGGGGTCAAAATCTGGGATTTTGGGAGAATTGGGGTCAAACTCTGGGATTTTGGGAATGTTGAGGTTAAACTCTGGGATTTTGGGAGAATTGGGGTTAAACTCTGGGATTTTGGGAATGTTGATGTTAAACTCCGGGATTTCGGGAATCTTTGGCGTAAACTCTGGGATTTTGGGAATATGGAGCAGGGATTTTGGGAGCAGGGAATGGGGGTTTTGGGAATGTAGAACAGGGATTTTGGGAATGTGGGACAGGGATTTTGGGAATGTGGACAGGGATTTTGGGAATGTAGAACAGGGATTTTGGGAATGTGGAACCAGGATTTTGGGAATGTGGAGCTGGGATTTTGGGAATGTGGAACCAGGATTTTGGGAATGTGGAGCTGGGATTTTGGGAATGTGGAGCTGGGATTTTGGGAGCATGAAGGGGATTTTGGGAATGTAGAGCCAGAATTGTGGGAATGCAGACCAGGGATTTTGGGAACGTGGAACCGGGATTTTGGGAATGCAGGGTGGGGATTTTGGGAGTGTGGCCCCGTGCCGGTACCGGGATCTCCGGCAGCTTTCCTGTTAAACCGAGCTGGGGCTGCACCGGGGCCGTGCCGGGAGAAGCTCCGGGAGTGCCGGGGCCGCGCCGGATCTCTGCCGGGGCCGCGCCGGATCTCTGCCGGGGCCGTGGTTTTCCCGGGAGCCCGGCCAGGCGCGGCTGACCCGGCGCTCTCCGTCTTTTCCAGATGAGCCCGACCCCGCCCCCTCCGGAGCCGGCCCGGCCGCGGCGCACCGGACACAGCTCGGGTGAGAACCAGGGAGCGAGCGGCCGGGACGGCCCCCAGTCCATCCCAGTCCATCCCAGTCCATCCCAGTTCATCCCAGTTCATCCCAGTTCATCCCAGTCCATCCCAGTCCATCCCAGTCCATCCCAGTCCATCCCAGTCCATCCCAGTTCATCCCAGTTCATCCCAGTTCATCCCAGTTCATCCCAGTCCATCCCAGTCCATCCCAGTCCATCCCAGTCCATCCGAGTCCCTCCCAGTTCATCCCAGTTCATCCCAGTCCATCCCAGTCCATCCCAGTCCATCCCAGTCCATCCCAGTTCATCCCAGTCCATCCCAGTCCATCCCAGTCCATCCCAGTCCCTCCCAGTTCATCCCAGTCCATCCCAGTCCATCCCAGTCCATCCCAGTTCATCCCAGTCCATCCCAGTCCATCCCAGTTCATCCCAGTCCCTCCCAGTTCCATCCCAGTCCATCCCNGATGTTAAACTCTGGGATTTTGGGAGAATTGGGGTCAAAATCTGGGATTTTGGGAATGTTGATGTTAAACTCTGGGATTTTGGGAGAATTGGGGTTAAACTCTGGGATTTTGGGAATGTTGATGTTAAACTCTGGGATTTTGGGAGAATTGAGGTTAAACTCTGGGATTTTGGGAATGTTGATGTTAAACTCTGGGATTTTGGGAATCTTTGGCGTAAACTCTGGGATTTTGGGAATATGGAGCAGGGATTTTGGGAGCAGGGAATGGGGGTTTTGGGAATGTGGAACAGGGATTTTGGGAATGTGGGACAGGGATTTTGGGAATGCGGAACCAGAATTTTGGGAGCGTGGAACTGGGATTTTGGGAATGCAGGGCGGGGATTTTGGGAGCATGAAGGGGATTTTGGGAATGTGGAACAGGGGTTTTGGGAATGTGGAACAGGGATTTTGGGAATGTGGAGCTGGGATTTTGGGAGCATGAAGGGGATTTTGGGAATGTGGAGTGGGGATTTTGGGAATGTGGGACAGGGATTTTGGGAATGTGGAGCCGGGATTTTGGGAGCATGAAGGGGATTTTGGGAATGTAGAGCCAGAATTGTGGGAATGCAGAGCAGGGATTTTGGGAATGTGGAACTGGGATTTTGGGAATGCAGGGTGGGGATTTTGGGAGCGTGGCCCCGTGCCGGTACCGGGATCTCCGGCAGCTTTCCTGTTAAACCGAGCTGGGGCTGCACCGGGGCCGTGCCGGGAGAAGCTCCGGGAGTGCCGGGGCCGCGCCGGATCTCTGCCGGGGCCGCGCCGGATCTCTGCTGGGGCCGCGCCGGATCTCTGCCGGGGCCGTGCCGGGGCCGTGCCGGATCTCTGCCGGGGCCGCGCCGGATCTCTGCTGGGGCCGCGCCGGATCTCTGCTGGGGCCGCGCCGGATCTCTGCCGGGGCCGCGCCGGATCTCTGCCGGGGCCGTGCCGGGGCCGTGGTTTTCCCGGGAGCCCGGCCAGGCGCGGCTGACCCGGCGCTCTCCGTCTTTTCCAGATGAGCCCGACCCCGTCCCCTCCGGAGCCGGCCCGGCCGCGGCGCACCGGACACAGCTCGGGTGAGAACCAGGGAGCGAGCGGCCGGGACGGCCCCCAGTCCATCCCAGTCCNATCCCAGTCCATCCCAGTTCATCCCAGTCCCTCCCAGTTCCATCCCAGTCCATCCCAGTCCATCCCAGTCCATCCCAGTTCATCCCAGTCCATCCCAGTCCATCCCAGTTCATCCCAGTTCATCCCAGTCCATCCCAGTCCATCCCAGTCCCTCCCAGTCCCTCCCAGTTACTCTCAGGCCCTCCCAGTTCCTTTGGATCCATCCCAGTTCATTGGATCCATCCCAGTTCCCCTTGGATCCATCCCGGTTCCCTTTGGATCCATCCTGGTTCCTCCTGGTTGTGTTTTCCCAAAATCCCACTTTCCACCCCAAAATCCCTTTCCAACCCACAGACAAGGAGCGCCTGGAATTCCCGAGGCTCTCCCACATTTCCATTGGGGTGGGAAGGGATGGATTTGTTCCTCTCCCACATTTTTATCCGGCTGGGAAGGGATGGATTTGTTCCTCTCCCACATTTCTATCCGGCTGGGAAGGGATGGATTTGTTCCTCTCCCACATTTCTATCCGGCTGGGAAGGGATGGATTTGTTCCTCTCCCAAATTTCCATTGGGGTGGGAAGGGAAGGATTTGTTCCCCTCCCAAATTTCTATCCGGGTGGGAAGGGATGGATTTGTTCCTCTCCCAAATTTCCATTGGGGTGGGAAGGGATGGATTTGTTCCTCTCCCACATTTCTATCCGGCTGGGAAGGGATGGATTTGTTCCCCTCCCACATTTCTATCCGGGTGGGAAGGGATGGATTTGTTCCCCTCCCACATTTTCATTGGGGTGGGAAGGGATGGATTTGTTCCTCTCCCACATTTCTATCCGGCTGGGAAGGGATGGATTTGTTCCCCTCCCAAATTTCTATCTGGGTGGGAAGGGATGGATCTTCCTTCCTCTCCCACATTTCTATCCGGGTGGGAAGGGATGGATCTTCCTTCCAAGCGGCGTTTTCCCAAATTCCCACTTCCCTCCCCACGCTTGCCTTGCAGCCCGGCGGCCGAGGCGCCGCCGCCGTTCCCGCGGGCGCGGTTGCGGCCGCCGGCCGAAGGCGCGGACCAAAGCACTTTAGACCCGGCCCGGCCGGGCGCGGCGCCGCCGGACAGCGACCGCGCCGAGCCGGCCGCCGGCGGCGCGGCGGCGCCGGGATCGGCCGGGCCGGCCGCCGCCGAGGAGCGGCGCCGGACGGAACCAAAGCAGGCGGGCGCGCTCGGCGCCGAGCCGCCGCTCCACCGCGGCGTCCGGCGGCTGGCGTGGATCTCCAGGAGCCCCAGCCCGTCCTTCCGCGAGCCGGCCGGCGCGGCCGGGCGCGCTCCGGCGTCGCGCGGAGCCAAAGCCAAAGCCCCGGAGAGCCGCCGGCGCGCGGCCGAGCCGGAGGCGGCGGGGAAGCAGACGTGGACGGTGAACGCCGAGGACTCGGTGGAGCGGCTGCCGCCGGAGGAGCCGCGCCGGGACGAGGCGCC